TACATATATATACAAATATATATATTTATATATATGTATATATATGCATATGTATATTTTGTAAAAAATATTTGTTTATATACATATATATGAATTTACATTTCTTTATATACATAAAGACATACATATGCATATTTATAAGCATATATATATTGTATTATAAATGTATATAAACACACACAAATATATGTGTGTGTGTGTTTACGTGTGTATGTGTGTATCAACTGTATACTTACATAACTATATATACATGTTAATGTTTGAATATTGAATACATACGTATATACATACATTTATATGGATCTAAATTTACATATGAATTATATTAGTTTGTATATAGATGTATGTGTATGTATATAAATAAATATGATGGAAACTGTAAGTAAACACATATGAATAGAAGTATAAATATGTATAAATACATATAAACAACATATATACATATACATAGAAAAGGTATGAGTATGAATATCTTCACAGTGCAAGAGAAGTAGTTATTTCTGACGAAGATGTAATCGAAACCGTACTAAGATCTTCATTTTCATTCATACTTTTTCTACAAATGCATATGTACAGTTCACATAAGCAAACATATATATTGATAATCATGTTCAGAAATAACAAAGACAAGAGAAAGGAAAACGTTTAGATCACCCAGAGAGGGCTGGCTGACCCAAGGATACCTTTCACTCTAATTATTCGCTTCCTGAAATGCTCAATTCTTTTCTAATTGTTCATTTTCCACACTCCATTTCCCTTTGTGTTTTGCAACAATATGGATATTTCATATGTGTAAAACGAACTCTAAACACGGAGGAACATTTAAATGATCTATGAATCAAAATGAAATTACTCCCACGGTTCGGTTGTGCTGGGGGGGGGCGGGGCGAGGGAGGAACGACACTGCTCCATATATAAAGGCGCCCATCATCACGGTCGCTACAGTTCAGACGCGCCGAGAGCTGAGAGTGCAAGCATGGCTCTACGATACCTGGTGAGTTGCCATTATGTTCTGAGATACATTTACTCGCCATATGAGTACTGGTGTGGGTGCGTTCATTAGCGCGCACACGAAATACCAGGTATATTATGGATGCAAGCATCATCAATATGGATTAATCTTACCATATTCTGTTTTTTTTCAGATTTCGCTTTCTTTGGCGGTCGCCGTTCTGGCCGACCAGACCTCACACGTCAGCATCAGTCTCGGCGGTGCTCCTGCTGTCACCCATCACAGTTCCTCTCACCACGCAAGCCCTTCATACCACCATCAACCTACCTACCACACTCAGCCTTCCTACCATCCACAACCTTCCTACCACCCTGCTCCCGCTTATCACCCACAGCCTTCCTATGAGCATCAACACGAGCCTGCTGTGCCAGAATGTGCTGCCAACACAACCAAAGCTTGGTGCCTCGAGGACGACCACTATCCCACCTACGAGATCAAACACGCAGCAGAGTACCACTACGAGAAGCTCCTCTCCCTCTATGCTGACGTAGCCGACCTCAACACCGAGCTGTCTGTCGACCGACCAAACACCCTGGAGGAGAAACTTACTTGCCCATCAGAGACCGCTTACGTCAGGCCCCTTCGTGCCCTCAACACCGAGGGAAAATGGCGTGTCGTTGTCAACAATATCGATGCCCATTATCAGACTCTCACTCAGACTACACGCATCGAAGAGTGTCTCAGTTCCGCCGATGCATGTCCTCTGGTGCCTGAGTGCTACGAGTCCAAGTGTCTGCAGAAGTCCGTCTACCACCGCTTCCTTGTCTACGACTCCTATGATCAGTACTTCCCCTTCGCCATCGAGACCTTCAAGCTTCCCGCCAGCTGTGCTTGTCTCTTGGGCGCCTACACCATCGACCATTAGTCACCAAACACCTGATCTCAAGCCAAATTAGGGGGGAAATGAATTGAACATGTTTAGCAAACGCGAGACACATCGTTCATGTCGGCAGAAACGATGATAACTGATTGCAAAGAACATCGAATCCCCTCGCTTTTAAAAAAGAACATGAAAATAAATATTATTTTACGTAATCTACATTTCAATTTCCCATCTTATATGCCTATTTTCCTGTATCATCATATGTTTATTTTTATTGTCATTGTTTTGATTTCCATGAATTTGATAATAGAAGTCTATTTACGATTCATTTAAAGTTCTCTTCTGTTTAGAAATAGCTTTTGCATTTGACAATCTACAAACAACAGGTGATATAAGCACGTGCTAAGGAACAAGCAGAAAAAAAAGGTTTTCCTTCTGATCACTCCTATCATGAACGCAGAGGAAGATATTCTCACTTATATATGCACATATTTATGTATTTATATACTTACACATACATATATGATATATATAAATATAATGTATACAAGTACAAAATATAAACATATAAATATCTATATATAAACATATAAATATATATGTATATATGCATATATATATATATATATATATATATATATATATATATATATACATATATATATATACATGTATATACACATATATATACTAGGGGTGCTTCATACCAGTTGGTCATAAGACCAATATTCTGATAATATACACCTCGGGCACGTGTCCACCGCCGATTGCCCTATGACGGTTCTCCTTCCCCTTGAACTTGACCTTGAACTTGATGAGAGTTTTTCCTCATTCACTCCGATCGAACTACTCCAAAATGCAGACTCGCTTTATGACACTTAATAGCTCCTACACAGTCATCGTGTTTTTGTTTTTCCTAAAGGATGATACTGGGGGAGGATGGGAGGGTGGAGTGGGTGCATGTGGTCAGCACACGCGACCAATTAGCCTCACAGGCAGCCAGATTAAAACTGATCGCTCAGTCATTCACGCGTGTAGCCTACCAAGGAGTCCAGCTCATTTCTCTTCCGGAAAGTATCGGATGCACACCTTCCACAACAGAAAATGGGCACTGACCGCACGTATATACGTACATTATATACATATTACATACATACATAATATATATAATATATATATGTATATATATATATATATATATATATATATATATATATATATATATATATATATATATATACACACACACACACACACACATCTAGGTAGGGAGATAAGTGTAGATATAGATAGGTACATATTAATATATTCTTTATCTTAATTTACACATGGAATCATAGATTGATAGATAGCATGCATATATAAATATTCATATCACTGTGCGAATATATATGTGTCTGTGTGTATAGATGAATAAACATATAAATGGGGCCAAAAAAAAAAAATCTATATATACTTTTTTGTTTGTTTGCACACCCACACATATACGCATATATATTCATATATACAAATGTATATAATATAGATGTGTATATAGATGCATATATGTGTGTATGTGTATACATATACATATAAGCATATATGTATATAATCATTCGTATATATAAATATATGTAGTATAGATTTTTTCATAGTTGCATATGTATGTGGATGTATCTTTATGCATACATATTTGTATATAAATATATAGATTTAAACACATAGCTATATGTATATGTATATGCGATTTGTGTTATGTATAACTGTATGCATATATGTTTATATAGATATTAATATGTTTATGCACGTGTATATATATGTATATTATACATGCAATACATTCGTATACATATCTGCATGCAGTGGAAATATTTATATGTACCCATAGAAACACCCACGCCTTCACTCTTCCATACACTCATATGCGTATATAAGTTTATATGCAAATATGTTTTTATGCCTTTGTGAATCTGACTGCATGTGTATGCCTTGGCCACCTCTCCTTTCAGGAAAGAGGATGTGGGGATACTTCACGTGTTTGTGCTATCGGAAAGTAATAGCGACAGTTAGGACACGACGCACTTTCACGCTTTTCTAACCTTGGCGTCGCGCATATTCGTAGTGCGTGGGCGTGGCCAACGCATACGACGCCGTATATAAGCTCGATAATAACGAATGGGCAACAGTAGAAGCGATTCTCGTATCTATCTGCTCGTTTCATCATGGCTCTTACGTTGGTACGTTGGGACAATACTGGCAGTTAAAGCTTTCTTCACTGTACTGTTTGAAGAGTTTGGTTCATACGAAATGTGTATTTTATTTTAATGTTATTCTTTGCTTTCCAGTCGGTCGTTCTGGCATGCGCCGGAGTAGTTCTGGGCTCCGTCCACCCTCCAGCATATGGACATCACCCACAGCCTGCTTACGCTCATCATGCGCCTGCCTATGGTCATCATGCACCTGCTTACGGCACAGCATGCCTATGAGCACGCTTACTGCGACCCAAGTGTGGCCCCCGCATGCGCTGACAACTCCACTCTCTCCTACTGCTTGGAAGACGCTGAGTATCCCGAGTACGAGATCAAGGCTGCCATCACTGCCGATCACCTCTTCGCCAAGAAGTACGCTGACGTCGCCGACCAGTCTGCTGACGACCTGGTAGACATGATTACCAAGGACCAGGAGGAGGCCTTCGACTACTCTTACTACACTGGGGCCTCCACTGGGGACTCTCCCTACGATGCCACCCACTGGGCTGGTCCTGAGGGTTACATCTGTCCCTCCGAAGTGGTGTATGCCATGCCCAAGCGTGCCCAGAATGTGGAAGGCAAGTGGCGCGTCATGTCAACGACGTTCACTATTACAGCCAGACTGCCCGCCTCGAGACTTGTCTGTTCCCAGAGGCTGCTTGCCGCGCCCTTGCTCCTTGCTACCAGAGCCACTGCACCCAGAAGTCAGTGTACCACCGACTCCTCTCCTACGACCCATGTGACCCCTACAGGGGCCTCTTCATCGACATCTACAAGATGCCATCTGCCTGCTCATGCCACCTTCCCGCCTAACACGCACACAACGCTTCTCAACGAATCGCCTCTTCACACACTAACACTCCATGGCCTCCAAGGAACCATCGACCGTGTAATAAATGCGAGGCATCTATCGTGATATATGAATAAATCATTGTTGAACTCATCACATGTTTTTATACTCCCTGGTGCATAAATGTTATCCATACATTAACTGAAGTAAAACGTCAATAGTAATAACATCAAAATACAAAATGATACCAACACAAAGATAAGCATAATGAAGTTAAGTAACAACACTAATAAAAAATATGAATAATAATACTACATTTAATACGAGTAATGCTAATAGGAATGAAAATTAAAAAAAATAATTTTGATAATAACAAGGATAGAGATGAAAGAAATATGAAACCAAAGAAGATTTAATAACGATGACAGTGATTTTAATAATGATAGTAAAAAAAATGATAAAAAATTACTACTATAATAAAAAATGAATTATTGGTAATTATATTCATAACATGATAATAAAAATAAAAGTTATAGTAATGATAATAACAAATGATAATGAAATAGATAAAAAAAAAGAGGAATGATAACATATTTTATAGTAACCAATGCTAAACATAAAGATAATGATAATTACAATGATTATAGTAATACGAGAAACAAATATTCTAAAGATAATGATAATAAGACCAACAACAACAATAATAATGATAACAGCAATGATACATATGCATCATTAATAATGACAATGAGAAAAATTATAATAGTGATACTGATAGTAACATGATAAAAAATAAAAATGCATGAATTAAAATTACCTCTTTCTCAAGCGCACTGACGTCTGTAAACATAACTTCCTTGGTGGAGGTTATATAGATAATGATAATAGCCTTATATATATGTGGGTAACTTGCATTCCTGTAAAAAAAAAAAAAAAAAAAAAAAAAAAAAAATGCTGGATCTCGTTCATGATCTGGATCAACACCAATCTAGTGATACCCAAGTTCGGCTAAGGAACGCCTCTAGAAAGATTTTCATTAAAATCTGTCTATAACTTTTTGAATTCTCAAAAAATAACTTGCATGATAACGCTGACAACAATAATGGTAATAAAGCAAGTGAGAATAACCATGGCATGATAATATTAGTAAATTAAATTAATAGAATTGATGAAAAAATAGTTTTTCAAATGCCTGATTTCATTGCCGATTACCTTAACAATCATTAGGATATAAACTCATGACGAATAAAGACGAAACGAATGATACACACATACACACACGTATGGAAGCCATTTTCAAACGTGTGTGTATATATGCATGGGCGTGTGGGGTTGCGGATGGGTATATGTAATGTGTGTATATATGTATGTGTGTGATATGTACACACACACACACATATATGTGTGTTTGCACATATCACACATAAACATATATACATATATTGTTTATATATATTATATATAATATATATATATATATATATATATATATATATATATATATATATATATATATATATATATATATGTGTGTTCATTCATATATATATGTTTATATGGAAAATGATACATTGTGTGTATTTGTGTGGGTGAGCATATACATGTAAAAATTTATGGTACGGATGCTACATATATAGAAAATACAAACGGGACTAATGAATGAAGGTTGAATTACTTTCGCCGTTCGAACATATGGAGGTAGAAGAGGGGGGAGGGGGGGGGAGCTGCTATTCGCTATATAAAGGACGCCCGTCATCACGGCTACAGTTAGAACGCACCGAGAGCTGGGATTGTAAGCATGGCTTTCCGATACTTGGTGAGTTCACGTTATCTTCTAAGGAATATCTTTTCTGAATTCAGTTTATATAACCACGTCTTTATAAACAACTAGCTTTGCACATGTACTATAAAAATATATTTATATCTATCTATTCATATATATTTATATATAATAGGCTATATACACATGCACACAGTTATACATCTGTGCGTGTAGGTGTGGCTATATATGCAATGTATATAAAGAAAAATAACTTTATGAATATGCACATATCATTCTCTATGTTGCAGATTTCGCTGTCTTTGGCGGTCGCAGTTCTGGCCGACCAGACCTCTCACGTCAGCATCAGTCTCGGCGGTGCTCCTGCTGTCACCCATCACAGTTCCTCTCACCACGCAAGCCCTTCATACCACCATCAACCTACCTACCACACTCAGCCTTCCTACCATCCACAACCTTCCTACCACCCTGCTCCCGCTTATCACCCACAGCCTTCCTATGAGCATCAACACGAGCCTGCTGTGCCAGAATGTGCTGCCAACACAACCAAAGCTTGGTGCCTCGAGGACGACCACTATCCCACCTACGAGATCAAACACGCAGCAGAGTACCACTACGAGAAGCTCCTCTCCCTCTATGCTGACGTAGCCGACCTCAACACCGAGCTGTCTGTCGACCGACCAAACACCCTGGAGGAGGAAACTTACTTGTGCCCATCAGAGACCGCTTACGTCAGGCCCCTTCGTGCCCTGAACACCGAGGGAAAATGGCGTGTCGTTGTCAACAATATCGATGCCCATTATCAGACTCTCACTCAGACTACACGCATCGAAGAGTGTCTCAGTTCCGCGATGCATGTCCTCTGGT